TGCGCTGAGTCACGCCACCAGCTGGAGCACCGCACGGGCACGGCGGCCAGTGACGATGTTGACGATGAGTCACCGGAGCAGATTTGGCAATGCCAACACCAACACGAGAAGCAGCGGCCTGTGCAGAATATTGGTACGAGACAATATGGGTTGGAGAGGAGACGCGAAGAAGAAGGATATCGTAGCAGCAGCACCAGGCCCAAACGAGTCTCGTCTTGCGGTGGCACTTCCACATTCCTATGGCGGGGTCAGTATACACACACGTATGTACGCTGAACTCCTTTCGCGCCATACGTAGCCGACAGCGCTAAATCGCAGGCGCAATTGGACCCGCCTGTTTCGACCCCTTTGGTCGCAGCAAACGCTCTCGGGATTTTGAATTAAACGATCGCTGTCACCCGTCACGTGCGCTCCGCAGACTCCATGAGGTTCAAATTCATCTCAGACATCTTGGCAGGCATCCAATCAGGTATTGACGTTTAGCTCCATTAAGGCGCGACGCTTATTGCTCTGTCCATCGCCTCTGGGGCTCTCTCAGCACAAAACTATTCTCTTGCTCTCTCGCCTGTACTTTGCGTTTTCCAGAAATCACGGGAGTTTGCCCAACACTTTTGGTTGAATATTGATCGGAAAATGTGTGCACTTATTGGGGTATGATATCCACGCAGTTCTTTAACAAACAAAAAAATCCGTGCCTCGAGTTTTTCTGGCTGGCTATTGGCTGGGCCACCTCTCCACCCCGACGATGACCTCTGTTGTTGTGAGTGGCCGCTGCCGGCCCCTTGTCACAGAAACTATAAAACATTGCGCCGACTTCAAACGGTGCAAGGAGCTCGGAAGTTAGATGCACGATGACGAGAGTTGTGCGGACAACGAATACAGAAAACCGACCGTGGTGCATTTAAAATCCTCCTTAGTAACAGGGAAAGGGAGCTCACCCAGATCTGGGGCCCCCTCGTGAATGCCACCCCAGAGACCCTGAATTTACTTGACTGAACTTAAAATGAGACTGACTCCCCCCCCCACGCCCTGTTCCACCCTTCCTTCCCCGAAGAAAAGGGATCTGACGCACCACGCACCACAACGCTACGATCCTGCACGTCCTCGTTGGCTGTCTGTCCGAGCCGCGTAACCCGCTATGCACTACTCAGCTGTCGCGGAAGTTGGACAACCCACCCCCCGTGGTTGGATCAATAAAAATTAGTTACAAAATTTACAAAATATTCTTGAAATCCGAAATAAATATTGCCGTTGTTATTAAACCCACATCGCAATCCATATTATCTTCACATTTTATTATTACATTTACAAAGCTGATTACTGTACCATGTATGTATGTAGAACTTCTTTCGCACCGTACGTTGCCAACCGTGCTTGTCGGAGGTGCGGGGAGAGCGCTCCGTGTACAGGAGGGTTGTGGGAAGAGACACGAGCAATGACAGCCGTCTCTAATCACGGGTTCTCGACTCGCCCCAATATTACGAATAATCCCAGGGTTACCTCTTCATTATATTCTGCAGGATAGGCCTCCTATACTCATCTGTGAGCATCCGCCTGCAACGTCTGTCACCTAGGCTCGTAGTTTGCCCATTTTTGGTGACCCAGGTAAGCCTTGCACATTCAAACCATCCCGGCCTCTTTACGTTCTCATCCAGTTGCGCAGATAACCTCGATTTGTATGGATCGTTTGAGGCATCGAGAGGGTCTATCGCAACGTGCCACTTTCACTTTGCTTCGTACATGCGTACGAATGTTGACCTTTTTATTCGCACCGCGCTAATCCGAGGTGCGTTCTGCTGTGAGCACGACTGCGTGTTGTGTAGTTGTGTGCGTGTGGATTCCCGTTTGTCGCACGGCAGACAAGTCGCAAAGGCAACGCACACAATCAGTATTCGCGAGATACCACGTGAAATACGTGGGGGGGGGGGGAGGGACAAAACAATCGTCACCGTTTCAACCTACCCAGGACAACGTGGAACGTCGAGACAACGTTGGTCCAACGGTTCCAACCACATGCCAACGTTGGCCCAACGGTGGCCCAACGTTGTCATGTTTTCCACAAACCCTATCATATTTCGGTGGTATATAGTTTCTTTGCATACCCTTTGTTTATGGAACACCGCAGTGTCTCTTGGCTACACTGCCGTTTTTTGATTACCCCAACCCTTTCCTTTTTTCTATGTGACAACAACGCCCCCCTGGGGTGGAACAACGTTGGCTCACGACGTTGGCTCACGACGTTGGCTCACGACGTTGGCTCACGACGTTGGCTCACGACGTTGGCTCACGACGTTGGCTCACGACGTTGGCTCACGACGTTGGCTCACGACGTTGGCTCACGACGTTGGCTCACGACGTTGGCTCACGACGTTGGCTCACGACGTTGGCTCACGACGTTGGCTCACGACGTTGGCTCACGACGTTGGCTCACGACGTTGGCTCACGACGTTGGCTCACGACGTTGGCTCACGACGTTGGCTCACGACGTTGGCTCACGACGTTGGCTCACGACGTTGGCTCACGACGTTGGCTCACGACGTTGGCTCACGACGTTGGCTCACGACGTTGGCTCACGACGTTGGCTCACGACGTTGGCTCACGACGTTGGCTCACGACGTTGGCTCACGACGTTGGCTCACGACGTTGGCTCACGACGTTGGCTCACGACGTTGGCTCACGACGTTGGCTCACGACGTTGGCTCACGACGTTGGCTCACGACGTTGGCTCACGACGTTGGCTCACGACGTTGGCTCACGACGTTGGCTCACGACGTTGGCTCACGACGTTGGCTCACGACGTTGGCTCACGACGTTGGCTCACGACGTTGGCTCACGACGTTGGCTCACGACGTTGGCTCACGACGTTGGCTCACGACGTTGGCTCACGACGTTGGCTCACGACGTTGGCTCACGACGTTGGCTCACGACGTTGGCTAACGACGTTGGCTAACGACGTTGGCTAACGACGTTGGCTAACGACGTTGGCTAACGACGTTGGCTAACGACGTTGGCTAACGACGTTGGCTAACGACGTTGGCTAACGACGTTGGCTAACGACGTTGGCTAACGACGTTGGCTAACGACGTTGGCTAACGACGTTGGCTAACGACGTTGGCTAACGACGTTGGCTAACGACGTTGGCTAACGACGTTGGCTAACGACGTTGGCTAACGACGTTGGCTATAATCCTCTCTACTCGCGTGTCCCGGGTCTTCACGGCACCCAGGCCTGGTCTCCGCTTCTCCCTTTGGCCATAACACCGATTATAACCTTAAAGTTGACCCTGTTCTTCCCAGTAAACATGAAACGTTGGTCCAACGTTGCGCCAACGTTGTTGCAACGTCGGTGGAACGTTGCTGCAACGTTGGTCCAACGTATCCAACCACCGCAACTTTTCATGTATACCAGCTTATTACAGGGACTCCTCTACTTACGAACGAGTTAGGTCCCAGAGGTACTGTTCGTAAGTCGATTTGTCAAGAGTGAAACTTCACTCCTGTCGATTCCAAACACGTTGTACGGCATGTACACTAAACACGGAAAACGGCTTTAAAAGTTGTGCAATCTCCTGTAGATGTAGATGCCATTGGTTCTTCACGTTCTGCAGATGTAGATGCCGCTGTTTCTTCATGTTCTGCAGATGTAGATGCCGTTGGTTCTTCATGTTCTGCAGATGTAGATGCCACTGGTTCTTCATGTTCTGCAGATGTACATGCCACTGATTCTTCACGTTCTGCAGATGTAGATGCCACTGGTTCTTCGCGTTCTGCAGATGTTGATGCCGTTGGTTCTTCATGTTCTGCAGATGTAGATGCCACTGGTTCTTCATGTTCTGCAGATGTACATGCCACTGATTCTTCACGTTCTGCAGATGCCACTGGTTCTTCACGTTCCACAGATGGAGATGCCACTGGTTCTTCATGTTCTGCAGATGAAGATGCCACTGGTTCTTCATTTTCTGCAGATGTAGATGCCGCTGGTTCTTCAAGTTCTGCAGACGTAGATGCCACTGGTTCTTCATGTTCTGCAGATGTAGATGCCACTCGTTCTTCACGTTCTGCAGATGCCACTGGTTCTTCACGTTATACAGATGTAGATGCCACTGGTTCTTCACGTTCTGCAGATGCCACTGGTTCTTCACGTTCTACAGATGGAGATGCCACTGGTTCTTCATGTTTTGCAGATTCCACTGGTTTTCACGTTCTACACATGTAGATGCCACTGGTTGTTCATGATCTGCAGATGTAGATGCCACTGGTTCTTCACGTTCTACAGATGTAGATGCCACCGGTTCTTCACGTTCTGCAGATGCCACTAGTTCTTCACGTTCTACACATGTAGATGCCACTTGTTTTTCCTGCTCTGCAGATGTAGATGCCACTGATGCTTCACGTTCTGTAGATGTCACTGGTTCTTCATGTTCTGCAGATGCCACTAGTTCTTCACGTTCTACACATGTAGATGCCACTGGTTCTTCAAGTTCTACAGATGTAGATGCCACTGGTTCTTCACATTCTGCAGATGTAGATGCCACTGGTTTTTCACGTTCTATAGATGTAGATGTCACTGGTTCTTCACGTTCTGCAGATGTAGATGCCACTGGTTCTTCACGTTCTGTAGATGTAGATGTCACTGGTTCTTCACGTTCTGTAGATGTAGATGTCACTGGTTGTTCACGTTCTGTAGATCGAGATGCCACTGGTTCTTCACGTTCTCTAGATGCCCCTGGTTCTTCAGGTTCTGTAGATGTCACTGGTTCTTCACGTTCCACAGATGTAGATGCCACTGGTTCTTCACGTTCTGCAGATGTAGATGCCACTGGTTCTTCACGTTCTGTAGATGTAGATGCCACTGGTTCGTCACGTTCTGCAGATGTATATGTCACTGGTTCTTCTCGTTCTGCAGATGTAGATGCCACTGTTTCCTCACGTTCTGTAGATGCCACTGGTTCTTCATGTTCTACAGATGTAGGTGCCATCACGACTATCTATGGCGCGGCAGTTGAACTTACGACTCTCGGTCCGAACAGGCAACTGGACATACGGGGACAGGTTTGTTCCTATCTCTGAAAGTTCGTAAGTCGAGTGTTCGTAAGTAGAGGAGTCTCTGTGTTCCTCAAACCATAAGCTTAAACCGTAGCATCCGAGTCTAACTCTTACCCTTTCCTTAACTCCTCATGAAAAACCGTTAGATGCAAAAATACATTGTTTTTATCATCACCACCATCATGGCCGCCACCACCGCCTCAATAATCCTCAATCATGGTGTTTGTCATCATAATTGTCACTATCACCACTACCACCATCATCATCATTATCACGACCATCATCATCAATCATCATCACCACCAATTGCAGCAGCAATCCTTCATATCATTCAGTAGAAGCGAGCTTGTCAAACAAACAACACCCAGGGGCGTCGATTTGAGATGAAAACAAATCGAATTTTCGTGGTCGCAGATCCCTCACGGTGGCCACCCCTACACCCGTTCCTCCTGTACCAAGGCAACCCGCGTCCCGTCAACGCGGCCGCCCTCTGCGTTACCATTGGAGTCACTGCTGATGTTGGTGCTGACCACGTCGGTGCTGACGATGGCGATGTCGGCGAGATCCTGCGACTGCGCCGTGGGTCCGCTCCTGCTCTCCTGCCCCGAATCCAACGGCTCGTGGTCTCTGAACGCGTTCTCGATGGCGGCGACGAGCGAGCGCCTGAACCGGGCTTTCAGATCCGAGCCGCTGAACACGTAGAGGATCGGGTTGATGCAGCTGTTGATGAACGCGAATCCCAAGATCACGGGGTCTGCCCATTCTGCCACCCTCAACAAGCCCTCGTCGTCCTGAACGTAGGAGGCGGCTTCCAGCAGTCCGATGGCGTGGTACGGCGCCCAGCAGACGAAGAAGGCCACGACCACGGCCACGATGATTCTGAACGAGTTGCCGCGACGCGATTTGTCTACGCGCCGCAGCCTCGCCCCGATGCGACAGTAGCAGAAGATCATGACGGCGTAAGGAACGGCGAAGCTCGCCACGAAGGAAATCCCGATGGCGGTCAGCATGTGCCGCGTGTGCTCGCGGACATCGTCGCTGTAGCCGCTGTAGCAGTAGACGAGGCCTTCGTCCGACGCGTCCAAGTTGGAGAAGATGAGAGGCGGCAGGCTCAGCAGCAGGGCGAGGACCCACACGGCCAGGCAGAGCCACCGGGCCATGCGCAGGCGACGCAGGGGCAGCGAGGACACGGGGTGCAGGAGAGCGGCGTAGCGGTCGAGGCTGATGAGGGTCAAGAAGTAGACGCTGGCGTTCATGTTCACGGCAAGGGTGAACCACACGAGTTTGCACGCGGCCGCCCCAAGCACCCACTGCGCTTCCATGTAGACGGTGACAATGACCAGGGGGATCTGCATCACGAAGATGAAGTCGGCGATGGACAGGTGCAGAAAGAAGAGGGTCACCACCGTGCGCTTCATCTTGAAGCCCAGGATCCAGATGACCAAGAAGTTGCCGATGCTGCCCAGGACGAAGACGATGATCAAGATGGTTATGGCCGAGTACTTTAAGGTGTCGGTGCTGGTGGAGGTTTCCGGCGTCTTGTCCGTGCTTTTGGAGAGCCGGGTCACGATCGTTTGAGAGGTGTTCCAGGCGACGGAGTTCCAGACAGTGGTCGTGTTGAACTGCGGTGTCGGAGAGAAAGAGGAGCTCGGGAGATGGGTGGTTGTGGCCATCCTGATGGGATGAGCGACTGTGCGGTGCTCTGCAGGAGGATATTAACAACATCATCATCATCATCAATCATAGCAATCACCAGACAGATGCAACACTTTGAGTCAGATAATTCTCATCATTAGTATCTTCTTCATCTTAATGTACCCGTACAGCCCTTTTGTCAAACCACTGCTGAAAGTGGGGGCCTGCCCATGTGCTTGCTGGTCGTGGCGGTTCTTGCCACCATACTTCACCAAGCTAGTCAATGCGGGTTGGTGACTACGGTGAGCATAGATGTGGACGCTTAGAAATAGAGCACTGTGCACAAACTATGGACTGGGCTACGTTGCATTGCCCTCCGTTGCCCGCCGGGTGATAACCTCGGTCGGTAGTTTTCAACTGGGGTGCGCGTAACCCCGGCGGGTACGTGAGGTCTCGTCACGGGGTTACGTGAGGTCTCGTCACGGGGGTACGTGAGGTCTCGTCACGTGGGGTACGTGAGGTCTCGTCACGTGGGGTACGTGAGGTCTCGTCACGGGGGTACGTGAGGTCTCGTCACGGGGGGTACGTGAGGTCTCGTCGTGGGGGGTACGTGAGGTCTCGTCACGTGGGGTACGTGAGGTCTCGTCACGGGGGGTACGTGAGGTCTCGTCACGTGGGGTACGTGAGGTCTCGTCATGGGGGGTACGTGAGGTGTCGTCACAGGGGGTACGTGAAGTCTCGTTGCGGGGGGTACGTGAGGTCTCATCACGGGGGGTACGTGAGGTCTCGTCACGTGGGGTACGTGAGGTCTCGTCACGGGGGGTACGTGAGGTCTCGTCACGTGGGGGTACGTGAAGTCTCGTCACGTGGGGGTACGCGAGGTCTCGTCACGTGGGGGTACGTGAGGTCTCGTCACGGGGGTACGTGAGGTCTCGTCACGTGGGGTACGTGAGGTCTCGTCACGGAGGGTACGTGAGGTCTCGTCACGTGGGGGTACGTGAAGTCTCGTCACGGGGGGTACGTGAGGTCTCATCACGTGGGGTATGCGAGGTCTCGTCACGTGGGGTATGTGAGGTCTCGTCACGTGGGGGTACGTGAAGTCTCGTCACGTGGGGGGTACGCGAGGTCTCGTCACATGGGGGTACGTGAGGTCTCGTCACGTGGGGTACGTGAGGTCTCGTCACGTGGAGGTACGTGAGGTCTCGTCACGGGGGGTACGTGAGGTCTCATCACGGGGGGTACGCGAGGTCTCGTCACGTGGGGTACGTGAGGTCTCGTCACGGGGGGTACGCGAGGTCTCGTCACGGGGGGTACGTGAGGTCTCGTCACGGGGGGTACGCGAGGTCTCGTCACGTGGGGTATGCGAGGTCTCGTCACGTGGGGTACGTGAGGTCTCGTCACGTGGGGTACGCGAGGTCTCATCACGTGGGGTATGCGAGGTCTCGTCACGTGGGGTACGTGAGGTCTCGTCACGGGGGGTACGTGAGGTCTCGTCACGGCAGGTACGTGAGGTCTCGTCACGGGGGGTACGCGAGGTCTCGTCACGTGGGGTACGTGAGGTCTCGTCACGGGGGGTACGTGAGGTCTCGTCACGGCGGGTACGTGAGGTCTCGTCACGTGGGGTACGTGAGGTCTCGTCACGGGGGGTACGTGAGGTCTCGTCACGTGGGGTACGCGAGGTCTCGTCACGGGGGGTACGTGAGGTCTCGTCACGGGGGGTACGCGAGGTCTCGTCACGTGGGGTATGCGAGGTCTCGTCACGGGGGGTACGTGAGGTCTCTTCGTGGTGGTACAGCGAGAAAAAATCGTGTAATGGTGGAACAATAATACATTTGTTATTGTGCCTTTTAAAATAGAATACACATACTGTACTAGATTTGAAGCTTTCGTGACTGCAAGGATCCATACTCTTTGGTTCTATTCGGTAAAGTCACGTAGGTAAAAAATAAAACAACAAAAATCACGACGTTTCGGCCACAACACAAGCGGCCTTCATCAGGTGAAGGGACCAGACTGTCTCGAGGACAGCGCTGGAGTGAACACAGCTAAGCCCAGGTCGCGTCCTTTAAGCTGTGTGAGAGGAATCAAGGTGCCTTGACAAAGGAATTAGCATAAAAATTAGCTTTTAATTGGCGGACTTAGCATGATGAAAGGTGAACATGTGCAGGTAGGCGAAGGGGGGAGGTGTGAAAGGGAAGAAAAGGTAAGCACGAAAGTTTGGGGTACCACTACTTGAAAAAAAGATACTGTACCATTGAAAATTAGTTTAATGTTTGGTTCGATTTAGAACATCTTTCTAATGGTTGCTTTATTTCAGACCATCTTCTCGGTTGAAATTGTGTCTGTGTTTGTAAATCTGAATTGCCTCGTGAACAAATCTCTGATAAAAACCCGTGGGTTTGCAAAGAACCTTGGTATCGGAGAAAATTATATCGTGATCACCCACAGCGTTGTAACAGTGATCAGCTACGGCAGAAGAAATCGCCCTGCCATGTTTCAAATCTGATTTGTGCTCGCGAATTCGGTCAGAGACATGTCGCTTCGTCTCCCCGATATAGCAGTCACCGCAGGTACAACTCAATTTGTAAACCCCGGGGTACTGTAAGTCAGGAATTACATCTTTCACGGATAGGATCAGATCACGAATTTTGTGTACTGTATTGAACCGGACCTGGATCTTGTGTTTGTTTAGAATTTTGGAAATCTTTTTAGTGACGCCTGCTATATATGGTAGTGTGATGGTTTTGACTGGAGTATCAAGTGGTTGTTTCTGTATGGAGGGAGAGACAGCTTGGCGGATGGTACGGTCAAAGTATCCATTCCTTTTGAGGGCCAGGTGTACATGTTTTAATTCACTGGTCAGGTGGTGTTGGTCCGAAATGCAATGAGCCCTATGGTATAAAGTTTTGATGAGAGAATTATTTTGAGCTGGGTGGTGGTGGGAATCAGGTTTCAAGTAGGAATCTGTGTTGGTGGGTTTCCTCTCTGTTTGAGAGGAGACCTGATGGCTCATTGGGGCATTCTGTCTACAGGAAACCCACCCACACAGATTCCTACATAAAACCTGATTCCCACCACCACCCAGCTCAAAAGAATTCTCTCATCATAACTTTATACCATAGGGCTCATTGCATTTCGGACCAACACGACCTGACCAGTGAATTAAAACATGTACACCTAGCCCTCAAAAGGAATGGATTCTCTGACCGTACCATTCGCCAAGCTGTCTCTCCCTCCAAACAGAAACAACCACTTGATACTCTGGTCAAAACCATCACACTACCATATATAGCAGGTGTCACTAAAAAGATTTCCAAAATTCTAAACAAACACAAGATCCAGGTCCGGTTCAATACAGTACACAAAATTCGTGATCTGATCCCATCCGTGAAGGATGTCATTCCTGACTTACAGTACCCCGGGGTTTACAAATTGAGTTGTACCTGCAGTGATTGCTATATCGGGGAGACGAAGCGACATGTCTCTGACCGAATTCGCGAGCACAAATCAGATTTGAAACACGGCAGAACGAATTCTTCTGCCGTAGCTGATCACTGTTACAACACTGTGGGTGATCACGATATAATTTTCTCCGATACCAAGGTTCTTTGCAAACCCACGGGTTTTTATCAGAGATTTGATCACGAGGCAATTCAGATTTACAAACACAGACACAATTTCAACCGAGAAAATGGTCTCAAATTAAGCAACCATTAGAAAGATGTTCTAAATCGAACCAAACATTAAACTAATTTTCAATGGTACAGTATCTTTTTTCAAGTAATGGTACCCCAAACTTTCGTGCTTACCTTTTCTTCCCTTTCACACCTCCCCCCCTCGCCGACCTGCACATGTTCACCTTTCATCATGCTAAGTCCGCCAATTAAATGCAAATCTTTTTATGCTAATTCCTTTGTCAAGGCACCTTGATTCCTCTCACAGTTTAAAGGTCACGGTCTGAGCTTAGCTGTGTTCACTCCAGCGCTGTCCTCGAGACAGTCTCGTCCCTTCACCTGATGAAAGCCGCTTGTGTTGTGGCCGAAACGTCGCGATTTTTGTTGTTTTATTTTTTACCTACGTGACTTTACCGAATAGAAACAAAGAGTACACATACTGTACTACGATTATTGATTCTGCCCCGGCTTTTTGTCCAAATACCAAGACGTGCTCTAAGTGTGTACTTTTGCAACTTGACTGTATGTACTTTATCTATCTATATTTAACGGGCGCCACTGTCACGTGATGTCATCTTCCTCGCCTGGTATGCAGGAGGTCGTCGGTTTGATGCTGACGATGACGCCTGGTGTACATTTGGAGTTTGCATGTTCTCTCTTTCCCCGTGGTTGCGTGGATTTTTTTTCCCCGGGCCCTCCAATTTCTCCCCCCACGTTTGGAATGAACATGGGTTTAGATTATTTGGCTGCTAGAAATTAACACATAAGGTAGCTACTGAGAATCAGCTCTATAGCTCAGTGGGGGCTTACAGCACGATGTGCTAACCGCTGCACCACCGCTCCCACCTCCCATGGTATTCGCATGCGTATTCCCGTAAAATAGTGCAGATATGATGACAAACTAATAGCTAAACAAATACATTCAAGGACAGTGCATATTATTATCAGAGTTGTCTCTTTTGTTTGCATTTTGACTGCTTGTGTTGTGGTTATTGTAAACATGATGCCTTGAATAAAGGTGTCAGTTTTTGTGCCAGTTAAAAGGGTAAAACCTATTACTATATACAGGGTGCTACAAAAATGTGTTAACACTTAAATGCGACTATCATTTCTAATGGGAAAAGAACGGATAAACCCCTTTAACATGATAACAAGTGTAATATTAATAGCTTCAAAAAGTCAAAGAGTCTCCACCTTGTTCGCCATCGTTGTCAACACGTGGCCTGGAATCTTCTCCAGGTGATCTCCAGAGCCCAGGGGCACATTTCTTGCGGTATTGTTGCAAATTCTCAGAAGCGTTGACATTTTTTTTAAGCACACTGTATTATGAGTCAAGAATTAGATGCATCCTTGAATAGACCACAGTAGATTCCTACGGTCACGATACGTGCATTGCCAGGGAATCGTTTGCGCACTGCGCCTCCAATGCAGCCGCCTGTGTTGTATTCAGGGCCGCGGCTGCAATACGTGGCATCTGAAACTGTCCTGGCCTCCAACACCCCCCCTCCTCCTCCACTTAATTTGCACTAAGCCACATCGACCAGTGCGGTGAAGTATAGGTCAACCAATCTCTGTGACCGACAAGGCTTGTCGAGGCCATCATCGACAGCAGTGGATTGACAGAACACGTGTTAATTATTACTGCTGCTGTTGTTATTATGATGATGTTGCACGTGTATATGCTACTCGAGTAAAACTTACCAGTCCGTGAATCCTCTCCCTTCTTCTCTCTCTCTGTCGGGCTCTCACTCCGTCTCGACCCAGGTCGCTCCCACTTCTTCTCTTCTCCGTCACGAGGTTCTCTCTTTCCTCTCTTACGCTTCCCGTGTTTCCGCCACCAAACCCAACATCACAGTCACCCCCATCCACCCACCCCCGCCTCTGCCTCTGTTACCGCAACGGATGCCTGCAACGACGCGGCTGTTTTGACAAATCCTGAGATGATGTTACAATTGTAGTCGTGCGTATGATGATGACGGGGGTAGCAATGTGTTCAGAAGCTAATTGCCAATGGTGAGGTCTGCCAGTCACGACGAGAGGACTTCTAGAGAGAGAGATAGAGAGACAGAGCCATTGCAGTTACGAATAAATTAGATAATAAAAGCACGCTTTTCAATGCACACACTTTTATTTGCACTCAAAAGTAGAAAACTATTTTTTTTTGCCCAGAATTAATCAAATTTGATGTGCTGAATAAAAGTGGGTGGCTTGCATAAATAAACTTAAACATATCTAGAGGAAACAACTACTTTTATTCAGCACATTACATTTTTATCAGTTCTGGGGTGCAAATGAAAGTGTGTGCATTGAAAAGCTTTCTTTTTACCATGTTAATCTTATAAAAAATTTCATATATGTATGCACATTTTGATCCTAAGGCGCAGGACAGGGCAGCATGGGGAAGGTTGGCAAGGACATTGGACCCCACATGAGTGGGACAGATGCGTGGAAGAAGATCTCAATCCATACTCTTTGGTTCCATCCAGACAAGAACAATAGTTCATTATTGTCCGGATAATTCTAATATATTTTAAATAGTGCAATGAAAAAATTAAGTAAAAAAACACGAAAAGGCCCAGGATTTGCAGGACCTGGACCAGTTATTTAAATGAAATCTTGAATTGGCACGCGAGACGATGAGTCTGTGTACAACATTTCAGCTCGTTAGGCTTCGTAGATCCGAAGATATTAAGCGTCAATGATTTGAAAGAATATAAACAGACAACAGGGGAAGTTGAATAAAAGTGTGTATATAATAATAACATTGCTCCTGTCTACGACATGAGCAATAAGGGCGATGTTGTTGAAGTTGCAAAGTAAAGTTAGATGCACTTTAAAAAAAAATATGTTTATAAAGATCGCAGCGGGAAACGAGTTATTACCGTCAGATAAGTATCATATCATTAAAATAATTACTCAACTGCACTAAATATACCGACGATCGCTAAAGTAAATAATCGTGCGCAGGGCACGTCGTGGATAGAAGGGATGAAGGCCGATGGTCGAGCGATGGGGTGGCGGCACAGAGAGAGAGAGGGGCACGCCACCGCGGATGCTGAGTGATGAGCCCCAAGTTCTCCAACTCCACGTGTCACGTTCTATCTTCCTGCGTCGCAGCGTAGACCCAAGCGTGAACGTATACCCATTGATTTTTCACTCTTTTGTTCTTCATCCTTGTGTCACGGCGGTGATTATTCGGGCATTAATATATATAGAGTCTCTTCCATAACGAGGTAGTTGCGTTCCTGAAGAACACCGCTTTATGGGAAAATCGCGCTATAATAAATAATGTAGGGGTAAAGCACAGTCCGCGGTAACACGTGAGATGCGTACCCAGGCTGAACAAAGATTGAGGCGCGTGAGTAGCATCTTGAAGCATCCAGCAGTATCCCAATGCCGTGTGCTATGCTACGCCGAGGCAGCCGTATGAGCGCTTATTCCTACCCGCGCTGCGACGTGGTTCTGTTCACTCGATCGCGTTGTATCAAATTCGCATCCGCATTATAAATAATGTGTTCTCTCATACATTCATCGCATTCTAACCAATTAAACTTGTGAAAACAACACACGGCTTTCTCGGAGAACAGGACTGTACTCCTGAGGACTCATCTCCCTGGGTCTACCTGAGCTGCTACTCCCTGTGTCTACCTGAGCTGCTGCTGCCTGGGTCTACCTGAGCTGCTGCTCCCTGGGTCTACCTGAGCTGCTACTCCCTGGGTCTGCCTGAGCTGCTGCTCCCCGGGTCTACCTGAGCTGCTGCTCCCTGTGTCTACCTGAGCTGCTGCTCCCTGTGTCTACCTGAGCTGCTGCTCCCCGGGTCTACCTGAGCTGCTGCTCCCCGGGTCTACCTGAGCTGCTGCTCCCTGGGTCTACCTGAGCTGCTGCTCCCCGGGTCTACCTGAGCTGCTGCTCCCTGTGTCTACCTGAGCTGCTGCTCCCTGTGTCTACCTGAGCTGCTGCTCCCCGGGTCTACCTGAGCTGCTACTCCCTGGGTCTACCTGAGCTGCTGCCCCCTGGGTCTGCCTGAGCTGCTGCCCCCTGGGTCTGCCTGAGCTGTTGCTCCCTGTGTCTACCTGAGCTGCTGCCCCCTGGGTCTACCTGAGCTGCTGCCCCCTGGGTCTGCCTGAGCTGCTACTCCCCGGGTCTGCCTGAGCTGCTCCCACGGCTCCCGTCACGCAGCGGTCACAGCCACTCCGTCGAGAAGCCGGAGCGGCGCCTGGGAGCCGTGGACGCCCTCCCCATTTACAAGACACCGGGCATCTGGCTACAAGCTAGCGCTAGCTCCACACCTGGATAATGCCACCACTCCACTCCACCACCGACTTCCACTCAATCAACAACCACCTTCATTTGGACTGCATTGACATTCACCGAGAAACTGGACTAATTCGCCGTCCGCTTCACAGAGGCTCTGGTCGTATATTCAATTACAACTACTCAACCCCAAACTCCATTCCATCCATCTGGTCCTGTTTGCACCCCACAACTTCCTTAATACATCATCACAACATACGACACGTGCACCTAACCAATCTCCGCCCCATCCCTCGGTCCTCTCAATTCAACACGAAGCAAAGTCACCTGAAACTGGCTTTGCTCAACACCCGCTCACTAAACAATAAAAGCCTCATTTTAAATGAATTAATTACTGACAATAACCTGGATTTTCTCTGTATCACTGAAACTTGGCATAAACCTACGGACTATTTCACACTCAACCAGACTACACCTACAGGATATACATACATGGACAAACCCCGATCTGAGGGGCAGGGAGGTGGTGTCGCTGCAGTGTACAGAAAGGACATTAAAACATCCACCATCTCCATCCCTGCTGTTCAGTCCTTTGAACACATCACTTTCAAACTCTCTGGTCCCACTCCTCTGGTCACTGCCATAATCTACCGACCCCCCAAACCAAATCCTTCCTTTCTCTCTGACTTTTTTGACTTTTTAACTCAGTTATCTGCCATCTCACCTTCTGTTCTGCTCCTGGGAGATTTCAACATCCACATTGACACTGACTGTAAATTTGCTACTGAATTCCTGGAACTGCTCAATCCCACGTTCACTCAAACTGGCTGCTGTCACCCCCATTCTCAATAAACCTGGACTTCACCCCAACATTATGTCAAACTTTCGGCCCATTTCCAATCTCCCCTTTCTGTCTAAGATACTGGAACGCACTGTCGCCAAACAACTCAAAACCCACCTCTCCTCAAATGACCTGTTCGAACCATTTCAATCCGGCTTCCGTTCGCAACACAGCACTGAAACAGCCCTCCTCAGAGTTACCAACGACATCCTCCTCTCTGCAGACTCTGGTCACCTCAGCATCCTCCTGGACCTCACTTCAGCTTTTGACACTATCAACCACACCATTCTTCTCTCTCGCCTCAAATCTACCCTCAGCATCACTGGCACCGCCCTCTCCTGGCTCCAATCTTATCTCACCGACAGACAACAGTTCATCCACATCAACAACTGCACCTCCTCCACCGCTCCGTTGTCCCAAGGTGTCCCCCAGGGCTCGGTGCTTGGTCCTTTGCTCTTCATACTGTACCTGCTTCCCCGTGGCAACGTCATTCGCCACCATGGTCTTAACTTTCACTGCTATGCCAATGATGTCCAGCTCTACATCTCCACCAAATCCATCACCTCCGCCACCCACTCCACTCTCTCTAACTGCCTCGCTGACATTAAATCGTGGATGCACACCAATTTCCTTAAACTTAACTGCGACAAAACAGATATGATCATCATCGGTCCCAAATCTATGACTAAATCCATTCCCAGTTTCTCCGTCACTGTCGACACCTACACCCTGTCTCCGTCCCTTCAAAGTCGCAACAATAACCTCTCCTTTGAACACCACATAAAACAAATCACCAGAACTGCCTTTTTTCCCCTCAAAAAAATCTCCAGACTTCGCCCATCCCTCTCTTTCTCCGCTGCAGAAACCCTCATCCACGCCTTCATCACCTCCAGAATCGATTACTGCAATAGCATCCTATACGGCACCTCAACCAAAACATTAAATAAACTCCAGTACATCCAGAACTCTGCTACTCGTCTGCTCACTCACACCCGCACCGGTGACCACATTACCCCTGTCCTCCAGAACCTCCATTGGCTCCCGGTCCCACAACGAATTCAATTCAAAATCCTCCTCCTCACACATAAAGCCCTTTATAATCAGGCCCCTTCCTACCTCACTGACCTGCTCCACCGCCAGAATCCACCCCGTAGCCTTCGCTCATCTGACGCCAACCTCCTGACTCCACCTCTCAGGACCAAGCATCGAACCTGGGGCGACAGAGCCTTCTCTATAGTTGCCCCCTCACTTTGGAACTCTCTCCCAAAACAAATCCGTGACTGCACCGACCTTCCAGCGTTCAAATCATTGACTAAAACTCACCTTTTTAAAATTGCTTTTAATGTTTAGCTAAGTTTGATGTTTTTTTAGTGTTTTTACCATTTGATGTTGTTTTTGCTGCTTTATTGATTTCATGTAAAGTGTCTTTGAGTATTCAGAAAAGCGCGCACAAATAACATGTATTATTATTAAACGCATTTCGGAGTATTATAGAATCCATGCGTATGCGTGATTTTTCTTCTTTGTTTACACTGCCGATGACCGACTGCCTCTACGAAATAAACATGGCCATTGTTTCTGTACAGCGTTTTGATGTAGATGCCACATGGACACAACTTGTAATTGAATTGTTGCTGCCATCACCATCATCAGCCATGCTCAATCCACTGCTGCCTGCCATGTGCTTAATGTGCAGGGTAAATGTATCTCTCGGAACACGGAGGATGGTAGACGGAGAAAATGTATAATCTAAGGATTGCCACTTCATATCCCAGAAGGGAATAGCAGAGGGTCCTTCATCCTAAATGGGCGGTGAACTTTGATGTTTGATGTTGAGACAGAACAATACAAACGAGACAGACAATACGAACGAGTTAGACAATACACACGAGGCAGAACAATACCAACGAGGCAGAACAATACAAACGAGTTAGACAATACAAACTGTTTATTGAAAAATGCTGGTTGTGTTAGATTGCCTAAATATAAATGTGTCGTGAACCCACCGCCACCCGTCACGTGAACAAATCGTGCCAATCAGCTGTTGCCTCAGCACATCGGTGTGATGGCCATGGGAACGTGAGAGAGGTCACAATGGGCAGCTTCGCACGCACAAAATCTGGAACTTGTCAACAAACTGCTCCAAATCCGCCTACTTCCCTTTTGCGATTTCCACTCCGTGTCGCTTCGGGAAACACAAGACTGTAGTTTCGCAATTAGTATCTTGAGTGTTTATATATTTTTTTTGGGGGGGGGGGAGGGTGGATTTTGGTAAATAAATTACGCGGCTTTCAGAGCGATGCCGATTCCACAACGAGTTGGAGATATCGCGTGGGTGCACTGCGTGGAATGCTTAATAACAGTGGAAGAAGAAAAATCTTCATATTTTCATACACGGGCTCATTGTGATTCGTTTGTTGTCTCGGATTGCGTGGAGGCGTTGAAGTCATACAGAGAGCTACGGAGCCTCCACCACCCAGCACATCCGGACGAATAGAGTTGTAACGTGTTGGAGTGGGAATTGCCGATGGAATTATTTTTCTTCAGCAAAACCGGTTATATCGTTTTAACACGCAGTAGGCTTTCCCGACCAATATCATCCATAATACAGGGTTTCTTTTTAGGTTAGATCGCGTAAATATAAATGTGTCGTTAAACCAGCCACCACGGCCAATAAGTAAGATTGTAAATGTTGTGGATTTGCTCTCCAACACGCCGGTGTTCTGCACCAGTAACGAATTGGCACGTTCTGTTTACGTGACAAACCTTATTCTGCCTATGAAATACTCTATCGCTCGTGGGTACACTATATGAATGTTGGGTAACTTGTCATGATGTATGTATGTTGAACTTATTTAGCACCGTAGATAGCCAGCCATTGGATATTGGGGGCCGTCCATAAATGACGTCAAGCGATTTTGGACGATTTTTCACCCCCCCCCCCTTCGTCACACGGCGTCACAAAAAGTCAGACCCCCCCCCCCCCCCCCCCCCCCAAATAAAACATGCTTCAAATCGCTTTACACTATTGTCATTGTAGTGCGTATTTAATGTGGCGCTGCACTCTGATGTTGTAGGAGAAAACATTAACTAAAAAGTATACTTAATTAAGTAGAACGTGATGATGATTGCTTGTGTTGCAGTCGAAACGTCGTGAGAATTTTATTGTTTTTTATATATTTTTTATTTTTTTATTGTTTCCCTTCTACGTGACTTTACCGAAAGAACCAAGAATATTAATATAACTAGAACGTGTTGTCTATATTTATTTAAAGTTGCGCATTTTGATGTGACGCCACATTTCTCAAACCCCCCTTCTCATGTCACACATCGTCTCAAATGTTTGATCCCACCCTCTCCCCTAGGTGCGTGACGTCATTTATGGACGGCCCCTCATGCATTATCCCATGGCTGTCGGGTACACTGATTATTGAGTGGCCTGTGATGTTTTGGTACACCCTATGCATCAAGGGTACTCTGCTTGTGAAACACCCTGTCTCCCGGGGTATACGTTGTGATTTCTGGGTACCCTGTGTATCTAGCGAACTCTTGTTTATATAATACGACGTGTCTTTGGGTAACGATGGGTTTGGATTTTTTTCGTACACGATAGGTGTTTTGTGTACACGATGATTTTGGGTACATGGTGTTTTTTTGGGGACACGATGGGTTTTCTGGGGTACACGCTAGGGTTTTTTTGGGGTACACGATGGGTTTTTTTGGGTACACGATGGGGTTTTTTGGGTACACGATGGGTTTTTTGGGTAGACGATGGGTTTTTTTGGGTACACGATGGGTTTTTTGGGTACACGATGGGTTTTTTTGGGTACACGATGGGTTTTTTTGGGGTACACAATTGTTTTTGTGGGTACACGATGGGTTTTTTGGGGTACACAATTGTTTTTGTGGGTACACGATGGGTTTTTTGGGGTACACGATGGGGTTTTTTGGGTACACGATGGGTTTTTTTGGGGTACACGATGGGTTTTTTTGGGTACACGATTGTTTTTTTTGGGTACACGATGGGTTTTTTGGGGTACACGATGGGTTTTTTGGGGTACACGATGGGGTTTTTGGGGGTACACGATTGTTTTTTGGGTACACGATGGTTTTTTTGGGTACACGATTGTTTTTATAGGATAATGATGATTTGTTTTTGGGGTACCCACTGCCTCTCCCCGCGTCACCACTACGCCCCCACTAGGTGATCGCCTGCGTCGACTCGCCCGCCTTGCCGCGCCTCCATTCGGAGAGCGCTTCCCGGCACCCAGACCTCAATCCCTTTCCCCTTCTCCCTGCGCCGTCTTTGTCTCTCCTGCCTCCAGAGACACCGCACAGGTGAGAGACCCTCGCCTGCTGAGCCACACAGACCCCGGTTGAACCCCTGAGCCTGGACCCGGGACGGTGACACCTTGAGAGGTCAAACGGGGGGCGCCTGTGGCCTAGCTAGGCGGAGTCTTTGGCGCGCCTTTACAAGAGGCGATTTTCAACAGTGCATTAAATACACTTACCTACACCCGTAGTTATCGTTAATATTGTGCGTGTTTTAGTTTTTTTTAAATCGTAGAATAGAGTTTATTGTTAAACTAAAGTACGTTGAGGCGAATGTTGTGTGACTCGGGCCTAGCTTTTTAAGGCTCGCACCTAGTGGCCTTTGAAACGCCTCTATTTATAAACACTGTTACGCCTGGCCACGTACGTCAAGGGGTTGTTTCGTGCCGGAAATGTTGTGCTTATCTATCGTGGGCGTTTATTAATGACCATCAAGCTGTAGTGTAAACATAAAATGAGTATAAGCATCAATTGAGTACAGCTCTGAGGGGAATTCTCCCCCCCCCCCTCATGTCGCGTTACACAACACGGTTTTTTTACTTAATTAGGCTCAACATGTTCATTGTAGCCTTTTAAAAGGCCAATGAGCTTTTTAAAACGTTTAAATGTGCTTTATTGGCGTTTGCACCTGGTTGAACAATGAATTGCTTGTAAACAACGCTGACGTCTCGCGGGTTACTTCAGGGATATAACTTAAATCACTTCCAGAGTTTAAGGGATATCCTGAATCATGGTTATCTTTCATTCCCGAGGCACGCTAACGACTTTACGAATCGACACGTTTTAATCATCATTGTTAATTCTGTCTTGTTTGATGGGCAAGAGTTGGGTATTTCAAACAGTGGTTATCTGTAGTAAAGGTTTTTGGGTTAGATCGCGTTTATTTATAAATGTGTCGTAACCCTCCACCACCCGACACGGCCAATCAGCAAAAAAAGTGTCACGTTGACAAAAGACAAATAATTCACGACTTTAGCCCACCGGTGTGTTGAAGAGTGAATCCACATTTACAGTTTGAGTACGACGTTTCGCTGGTAAATACATCCAGCATCATCAAGCAATTCGCCAGAATGGTAAAGCCCTCGCTTGCTCCCGGTTTTATATAGAGCAGCAGGGTGACGTCATCACTTAACTCATATCAGGTGCAGTGATTAGAGGCGGAGGGGGGGGGTATTGTAATTATATAATCGATTAGTAATCAGTCATTGGTTATGATTAGTAATGAGTTGCTGATTAGTAATTCTTTAAATCAAAATGTAATGTGTATTATTTAATAATACGCTTCCAGATGATCTGGTAACCACTTAAGGCATTTCCCGTCTATGAGCTGTTTTTTTGCACAAACGTGAAAACAGCAGTCAAAAGTCGCTTTGCAATAAGATTTAGATTTTAAAAAGTCATTTTCCCACGTGTTAAATGTAAGGGAAACATTGGGTCATCAGCATTGCTGATCATCAACATTGCAGCTTAGCGGTGATGATATTAAGAACCTCCCATCCAAGTCTCCATCATAAATGTTTTTTTTTAATAATTCAACTGCTGTCTCCACAGATGAGATGTTGGTAAAGAAACCCAGGTCCCTCTTGCAAATGAGACTCACCTGGTCTCTTGAGAGAGACGTGTGTGTGTGTGCATACGTGTCCGCGAGTCAGTGGGGAGCGGTAGCGTAAGGGTTAGCGCGGACCCGGCGACCCGAGTTCGATTCCCGCTCATGGCCAACACCAGTGACGGATTATCTAAATTGGCCCTGGGCCTCCCCTGGGTCGGCTCAGCCTCAAGGGAGTACCTGCTGCGATGTGGAAACATCGCCACTGGGGAGACAAAGGCGGCCGTGCGTGGTGCTGGCCACCCACCCCCTCGTGTGCTGTGCTGGCCTTCAAAGGTGCTACTCGCTAACAGCAACTTGCGCCCAACAATCTGTTATGGCTACACGGGGGGGGGGGATATTTGTCTTTGGCCGCTAGTCAGCGTCCATCGGAAGGCTTGTTCGTGTGCAGCACACATCGTGCCGGTGGGCAGGAAGCCTTAATAGGTGCTCGCTAACAGTGTGTACGACCTACAGCGGGATGTTCATTATCTAGTTTTGTTTGCTCGCAACAGAAACCATGTGGACACTCCGCCCAGTGCTGACCTTGGGCATCAGGTCGGGTCCCGCGAGCCTGAGTCCAGTGTGCGTCGCACGCCTCAGCGCTGCCGCAGCCCCTGAACAGGTGAGACCTCCTCCCCACGCACCCCCCCTCCACCCACACCCTCCCTCACCCACCCTGCCACCCACCTCTTGATTGTTGCTATTGGCACCTGTCGACAAAATACCTGGAACCAGCCCCATCTCATTAGATCTCAGCAGCTAGCTTTGAGCTCGGACAGCGCTTGGATGGGTCGACCGCCGTGCATAACAGGGTTGTTGCACGGTAGGCAAGAGCGGAGCAGCACGGTCAAAATCCATTCCTGCATCTATGCTGCTCCACCACTCCACGTTCGCACCTCCGATTAGCACGATTGGCTACGCACGGTGCGAAAGAAGTTCAACAAACGTATGTACATCAGAGTTGCGGCCAAATAACCCCCACGGCACGCGCTTCTTGATGAGGTCCTCATCCAGCGGTGGAGCAACAAAGTGCTGTGCAATGTGCGATGTCAACAGTAACGGCGTGCGTGATGTAATGTCGGCGATGTTGTGTCCTGCCCCACCAACTAAATAAAAACCCTCTGTGTGTTTGTTCGATAGCAAAAGCCGAAGAAAACAAAGTTTGGCCCCCTGAAGGATGAAGACCGCATTTTCACGAACCTCTACGGCCGCCATGACTGGAGGTACTGTCACTGTGGCCTCGACGAAGCGCAGGATACAGCCTCAGCATCCGCAACTCAACGCAGCCGTCCATAGCACTGCCTCAAAATAAAACACAAATATAGCGCGCATAATTGTCTATGTGCTGTGAAGATGAGTCATTCCTGGAAACGCCGCCTATCATATTTTCGTATCAGGTCACAGTGTTGTTGACAAATGTGTTGAGTTATTTTTATTGTTTATTGTGCTCGCGCACCGCCTGCCAATGCAGCAGAATCACCAAATTGTTGCATTCTCTGTGCAGTGCGGCGTAGTTGGACTTGTCCGACTGGATGTAATAGACAGTAAATGCAATAATAACTATACAGGGTGAGCCATAGAATTCCCTCAGTTAATGCTGTGCAGAAACGTTTTTTAAAGGATTTTTTTTATTTCCTTAAGCTGCGGCCGCTCCGAGTCTATGTCCGGCAGGTGGCGCTAGAATTCCACGGACGGTGGCCGGCAATCTGCGACTCTTCAAGGCCTGCTTCCTGACATTATTTATTAAGAACCACCGTCCCGTATTCACATGCATTGCGGCTGTCGATCAATTGAGTTGTTTACCGAATTCGAAAAAAATAGCCGCTCTTGTTATTTTGGTTGTCAATCCCGTAAGAGCAAACACGCGATCATGCTGTGATTTGTCTCGCGTCTCGCGTGCGTGTGACTGCCGCCAGGCTGAAGGGCGCCATGGCACGGGGAGACTGGTACAAAACGAAGGAGATCCTGCTCAAGGGGCATGAGTGGATCCTCAACGAGGTGAAGGTGTCGGGGCTGCGAGGACGCGGCGGCGCCGGCTTCCCCACCGGCATGAAGTGGGGCTTCATGAACAAGCCCTCCGATGGACGGTAACCAGTGGCATATACGCACGAGACAAAGATCCCCCCGTATCATCATCACGATTCATGGGCGGATAGCCGTAGGTGTCCACTGCACATTTTGTCCTTTCCACTTTTTCCTGTCTTGTGCCAATATGCTCAAGTAGTGCACATCTTTCTGGTGCGATACACACCGCACCATGTAATAATTTGAGGCTGAGTAGACCTAGAGGAGGCCCAGGACCAGTTCAGGTAATCCCTCACTGGTGGTGGCCGTGAGCTGGAATTGAACTCGGGTCGCTGGGTTCGTAGCACAACGCGCTAACCGCTAGACTACCGCTCCCCATGGCATATACACACGACCACACGTGCACGCGTGTCGGGCGGGCGCATCTGCATGCACACAGACAGGCTAGCTCTCAATGTAAACGGAATCCTGGGTGAGCATTAATTTCCCACCCCTGAGAGGCCATCCTCTAGTAATAACCCTTCCACTCGTCATTGGTTACCCACCACGTGACTCGTGTGCTCGTGCATTGGGCCATCTGGGTAAGAAACAAAAATTCCTGCAACCTTTCAGGCCCAAGTACCTGGTGGTGAATGCAGACGAGGGCGAGCCCGGCACATGCAAGGACCGAGAGATCATGCGCCACGACCCGCACAAGCTGATCGAGGGCTGCCTGGTGGCGGGACGCGCCATGGGTGCGCGCGCCGCCTATATTTACATCCGCGGCGAGTTCTACAACGAGGCGTCCAACTTACAGGTTTGTGCGTCCCAGCCAACGTATTTACCCCATGGCGGTGTGCGCCACAAACTCCTGCCGGATGGCGGTGGCGTACACCTGCACGCCTGAAATAAAAACCTCTTAACTGTTGCGGGCTGTGAACATAATTTCTCTGTATACCTTTTTTCGTGGTCGGTTTTTACTCTGAAATATCGATCGAGTTGTTATCGTACCGTGAAGGTGTTTCTTTGGCATTATCCTTTGCCACAGCTTCGTGCCGCGGTCGTGTACTACAATCGCGTGCTGCATCAAACCTCTTGGCACAGCTATATTGTGGTCTCACTAGCAACCTCTAGCAGTTCCTGTGTATGTACAGTTTCCGAGTCTGTTCAATAATTCATTTATGTAAGCTCAATGCCAAATAAAAAATAGTTTTTAAGACTCCTCAAAATTTTTTGTATTTGAAAACGGTTCCAGTTTTGTAATGTTTAACAGATCAGAAACACAGACACTGATAAAGAATAAGAGACAGAGCGGTGCGTCGATGGATGATTTTGCAAATCGGTGGCTGTTAAGCAAAGTGGGCTTTGGGCAGGACACATCACTCGGTGAGATTACGGGTGATTGATGAGACCCGTGATGGTGTGGCAGCCGATGGAAAGGACACTCGAGGAGGATCCCACCACAGTGATGGAGCTACGAGATCAGTTGATGTGCAGAAGTGAGGACCGTGACAGATGACAATGTTGCTGGGTGCATTGTGGGGCTCCGCGGTGGGGAAATGTTATCTCCCTCGCCTGGTATTAAGGAAGTCGTGGGTTTGATCACGACCTTGACACCTGTATTTTCAGAGTTTGCGTGTTCTCCCCGTGGTCACGTGGATTTTTCTCCGGGTCATCCGGTTATTTTTCCTCCACATTTTAAATCAACTTAACGTTTTGATGATTTGGCTGTTATACATTTCCACACGAAAACCCACTTCGTGGAACTATAATTTGTGACCTTTTCTCTTCTGAAAAAGTGGGCCTTACCTGGTAAAATTAAAAATTGTTTCGTGTGCCATTTCCGTGGAATAAATTCCGAATGCAAATGTAACCGAAACTGAATGAAAAATATAATATATCCTCTTCACTGAAGTCTTAACATGTCTCTTTTGCACAACTGATAATCAAAGTTAGTGAATGCTCACCTGCTCGAAACAATGCTGCATTAATATTTTACTGGTGGTCATTTCTGTGGTAACACACACATGAGCCTGTGGGCATTGATAATGTGAACACGTGGTTTGAGTGCACACAATGCACGTGGGTTTTGTGGGTGTTTGCGTGTTCACACACGGGCTCAACTAATCTATGTTTGATTCCCCGCTTTGGGAAATCAAACCTAGATTACCAGCGGCAGTTAGCATCTGAACCTCCTCTGGGCCTTTCCTAGGTTGCAAACCTTAAATGAGTACTTGGTGTGTGTGTGCAAACATCAGCATAGGGGAGTCAAATGCGGTCTGGTATTGTTATGTCCACACCACCCCTTCGGGCACCATGCCAGCCTCAGTAGTTGCTCGCCAACATCGGCTGCCCCGACAGTCTATATTGGCATATTTTTTTGTCAAATTTTTTTTCCCAGTCGTGCTATCAGTGTCATGTCATGCGACACACATCTATTATTCGGATCTCTCGCAGAGCAGTGCTCCCCTGTGTTTTGTTAGAGAACGTCCACCTGAAGCGGATCTCGCAGAGCTGCCTCTGAGGTCCTTTTGAAGTGAACTCTGGTCCACACCAGGATGGGGCAGCGCTTTCTCACCCCCCCTGACACAGTGCAATGGTCTTCGCATGACACGCAAAGTGATAGTTTTAAGTCTTGGAGCTGTGAGTTTATCCAAATTAAGTGCAGTAATTAAGTGTGATGGGGGCGGCGGGGGTGGGTGGGTTTTGTGTAGTCATCATTAACTCACTACCCTAAAGAACCCCTATCTAATTAAAGAATCGCAGCAGTGCCAGCAGTTCAGTGCTCTGACCTCGACGCATTTTCGTGTGTACCCCCGTCTCGCCGCATACGCGCGCAGCTCGCGATCAAGGAAGCGTACGAGAAGGGGCTGTTGGGGCACAACGCGTGCGGCTCGGGCTTCGACTTCGACGTGTTCGTGCACCGCGGAGCCGGCGCGTACATTTGCGGCGAGGAGACGGCACTGATCGAGAGCCTGGAGGGCAAGCAGGGCAAACCGCGTCTCAAGCCTCCCTTCCCCGCCGACGTCGGTGAGCGTTTTAGAGTGTTTTAGAGTGTTTATTTGCCCGCTGCTATATAATTTTCCACGTTGTGATCAGCCACTTCGTTGAGCTGCTATCATTTGTACGCCAGGTCGCTTCTGAAAAGTGGGCTTCACCTGGGAAGAGAAAAAACAGTTTACTTTTATTTGTATATTTTTTAAAAGTGTTTTGTTTATCTTTCTTCTACCTTGCACTTCTATCGTGGTTTTTGTGTTGTTGTAACGTTCTGACCCCGTGCCCCTACTGGACGTCTGTGAAAATGAGCTTCATAGCTCATCGGATTCCTCCACTATAAATAAATATTCTGAGCTCCCGTCAAGCCCATGTGAGAGCCCCTTGACGCGAGCCCCTGGCTGGGCTGTGCAGGAGAGCGGGAGGCATGGGCGACGCTGCGCGACGTTCAGCGTGGATTTATGTAACGCCCTACCACGACCGCATCTTGAGACGGAGGCTGCGCGGAAAAAGGTGTTTGACACGTGCACCGGCACGCGGCTGCGGTTTTGCCCGTCAGGCGTGTTCGGCTGTCCCACGACGGTGGCTAACGTGGAGACAGTCGCCGTGGCGCCCACCATCTGCCGTCGCGGCGGGGAGTGGTTCGCCGGGTTCGGCCGCGAGCGAAACTCCGGGACGAAGCTGTTCAACATCTCGGGCCACGTCAACCACCCGTGCACGGTGGAGGAGGAGATGTCCATCCCGCTGAAGGAGCTCGTCGAGAGACATGCCGGTGCGTCTGCGTGTGTGGACGCGTGTGGTGTGAGCAGGGAGCGGTGGTTGCAGTGGTTAGCGCCCACTGCCCTACGAATCTGGCGACCTGAGTCCGATTCCCACTCGCGGCCAACACCGGTGACGATTATCTGAACTCGTCCTTGTGATAAGCCACACTGGGTCTCCCCTAAGTCGACTCTTCCTTAAAATTATTACCTGGTGCGGTGTGAATACTTTGCTACTCGAGAAACAAAGGCGGCCAGGCGTGGTGCTGGCCACCCATCCCCTCATGTGCTGTGGTGGCCTTCGTAGGTGCTCGCTAACAGCACTGGCCCCAAAAGTATGTGAAGACTATACAGGGGATCTTTGTCTTTTTTTGGTGAGCGGTAGTGTATTGGTTAACGTACTACTTTACAAATCTAAATTCTATCTCTGTTCACGGTCAACGTCTTGGGCTTACCCAACGTAGACTCAGCCTTAATTGAGTACCTGGTACGGTGTGTAAACATCTGCCCTGAAGGAGAAAATAAACCTGGCCACATCGCCCAGCTGTGTGTGCCTTGTTGGGTTCTAATAGGCACCCGCTAACAACAACGGCCCCAACGTGTCTGTCTGTAAGGCTGGCCTTGACACTGGACTCATCTTACGGCTTGGGGGGGGTGGGCCCCAAGGCTGGCCCTCGTCGGTTCTGACCTTGAATCTAAGACTGCCCTGAATCAGGAAAATTTATGGGACTAGTGAGGGCGGAGAATCATTACCCACTCACGCAGCTACTCCCCCTCTCCATGCCTCCACAATGTAAAACACGGAATAGAATTCTAGATCAAATTGTGACCTTGAATCTTGGAAATTAATCAAATCATGTGGGGATTGGACAGGGATGATGGGGAGATGGGGGGCTGTGGAATGTTTATTCCGCGGGGCACCGCGGTGACGAGACGTTAACTCCCTCGTCTGGTATGGAGAAGGCCATGGGTTCGATCCTGACCCTGACGCCTGCTCTATATTTGGAACTTGAATGTTTTCTCCCTGCGGTCGCGTGGATTTCTCTCCAGCTCCTCCGGTTTTTACCTCCACATTTAGAATCGGCATCACATGTTTAGATTATTTGACTGCTATAAATTTCCACATGATAAGCCACTTCGTGGAGCTATCATATGTGATAGCCAGATTGCTTCTGAAAAAGGTATAAATATCTCAGTGAGCCTTACCTGGTAAAATAAAAAAAAGTTGTTTAGTTTTTACCACTGGCTCAGGGAGAACAATGGATATGAGCAACCTCGACCCATGAATCGTTACACAACTTACAGCCCCCCCTCCCCGTTGCCCCCCCTCCCCACCATCGTGTCTCTGTGGTGGTAGGCGGAGTGCGTGGCGGCTGGGACAACCTGTTGTGCATCATCCCGGGGGGCTCTTCCACGCCGCTCATCCCTCGTGCCGTGTGCGACGAGGTCCTCATGGACTTCGACGCTCTCGTCGCAGCGCAGACCGGTCTCGGCACGGCCGCTCTCATCGTCATGGACAAGTCGGTACGTCTGTGGTGGTGACGGTGGTGGTGATGATGATGATGATGGTATTGATGGTACTCGTGATGATTGTAATGACGGCAATGATGGTGATGACAGTGATGATGAAATGGCTTGTTTGCTGTGGGGTCTTCACCCACGATACATTGACCACTTCTGCATTTAATTTGGCTAAATTCCACCTTCAGAGAAGCAAAGCTGTCGAGGTTTGTGTGTCATCCGATGACTTTCTGTCCTGTGGCAGGGTGGTTAGAGAGCGCTTTCCCCCCTACTGTGCGGACCAGAAGTTAGTTGAAGGGATCTCGGGAGGTAGCTCTATGATACCCTCTTCCGTGCGCTATTCTCATGAAAGGCTTCCTCGGTTCGGCTCGACGAGCGATGCAAATTTATTTTTCTCGTCTCTCGACGCGACGCCGTTGGCACAGTTGTCGGGACACGGCTGGGGGTGGGTGGGGGGGAAGGCGACGGAGCGTGAAGTTCTGTGGCTCAGGTGGCCGCGCGTTGTTGCTGGGTTCACAGACGGACGTCGTCAAGGCTATCGCTCGCCTCATGGAGTTCTACAAACACGAGAGCTGTGGGCAGTGCACTCCTTGCCGGGAAGGCAAGTGCACGCGCGCCCGCACACGCACTGGCCTGCCAAACAACCGCCATTCGCCGCTAAGTGCCGGTGATGTCGCCACGGCGCTTGTGCCAGGCTCTGTGCACTTTAAGGCCACATGAAGTGTCGAATGCCCGCTGGCAGGAGGTCACGGCACAGACCCAGGTGCCATGGGTCGACTGACTGAGATGACTGGTTGATCCACCACCTGTGTCCCCTATTGTGCGAACTTGCCGTATTTTAGCCGCCCAGCCGCATGCACGTTGCGCACACCCACATGGGCACACACGCAGAGGTACACTCACGCACAACTTGGTCCGATTCGTAAGCCTGCTGGTGGGAACGATGAAGACCGTGGAATTGTTGAGTACGTTTACAGGAATGACGATGACAATGATGGTGGTGGTGGTGGGGACCACACAGGCACGGGCTGGATGAACACGATGATGTGGCGCCTGGTGGATGGCAATGCGCGGGCCGAGGAGATTGACATGCTGTGGGAGATCAGCAAGCAGATCGAGGGACACACCATCTGCGCGCTGGGCGATGGAGCAGCCTGGCCCGTTCAGGTGATCTCTCACTCCTTTGTTACTTTTTGTTTTTAAACATGCATTTTTTGATTATCTTCTTTCTCCCCGCTACTTTTCATATTTCAAATGTGCTGTCTGCCTGCTCGTTGTTTATGTCACTATATTAGTGACCACCCCCTCACACTCCCCAACCCCCCCACCGGCTGGCGTTGATTATGAGGTTCTGTCTGCAGCTGGCGCATGACTCGTTCGCCTCCCCCCCTCTCCCCTCCCACGCCGCTCTTCCTCAGGGCCTCATCCGTCACTTCCGCCCGGTGCTTGAAACGCGCATCCAGCGCTACCAGGAGGCCGCCGTGCGGAAGGCAGCGTCGTCGTCATAACCTCGTCACTGCCACCGCCCCGTTCCCCCTGCACCCCCCTTCTCCCCCCCCCCCACCTGGCATGGCCGTCCATCAGCAAGCGGTGGGAGGGGAGGGAGTGGAGAGTTGGGGAGAGGGAGGGAGGGTGGTGGCACCCGCTTCCAAATTACGGAAAAGCAGAACACCAACGCACGAACGCACACGCATGCACACGTCCGTTGACCCAAATATGCACGGTTCCAGGCCCTGGTGGAGAACGTGACCGTCGTGTACAGTGGAAAGAGAGAGAGAGAGAGTGACGCCAACGTTTTAGGTTTTCTTTCGCGGATTCTCTCCCGTGCGTGTTTATCCTCTGCTCGTCGACAGTTGCCCCCGCAGTGTGCGTGCGCGCGCGCGTGTGTTGGCGAGATGTATCGCGTAAGTAGAGCCGCTAGGGGCACCCTTAATTTCGTGTTCGTTTGGTTTGGGTCCTTTATTCCGGAACGCGCGCCCGGCACAGCTCGGCATGCACGTGCTCCCTGGACGGTAGCGATCGTCCGATTCCATCAGAGTGCCAAGCCGCGACTCAACCCCAACGCGGGTCCAGTCTGCGGTGCCGGGGGCGGTGTCAGCCCCAGGCTACTTTAACTCAGTTCCCTCCCCCACTGCAGCCACTTCACGCCCTGCGGTCATGTCTGATAAAGACGTCGGAACCCAAAAAAACAAATGGTTCTTATCTTGTGGATAAAGAAGCCTTTCAGCTGTTGGCAAGCCGTGCATGGCTTGATCCGCCTCGGTCTGTCCGACACCCGAGTTTGAAGGGGGGGTGGGGTTGTTTGGGATGATTTGTGTCCCCCCAAATAGGGGGCCCTGTGCATCCCCTCCATGAGTGATCATGCAACCTGCTCCTCGGTGACGTGGGGGGGGAGGGGTGCTTTGTCCGCACGTGGTGATGCTTATCCTTTGGTTATTGACAGCTCTGGACCCTGTGCAATAATAAAACGGCGCTTACACACCGGCCCCCTACGCGCGCTGCTCATCCTCTTGGTTTTAGGAAGTTAGTGACCTCGCTCGAAAAAATAAGTCGTTTGTTCCTCGGTAACTTTCCGCTGTTTTGCTCGGAACAGCTGATGTGTGATCCAGATGCGGGAGCGCTTGCTGTTTCAACCGGCGATTCGTCGAATCCTGCGAGTTCTTTTTAACTTCTGAAATTGGCGATCGGGCAGGTGGAAAGAGGACTGCCCCACGCGGTTGCCTCGCTCTGCAAGGGATCCAAAGGGTTTTTTTTTATCTACTGGCTTGGCGCCTACGGCATCATCGGCATAACTTTCTGCTGTGACCAGCCATACGCTCGTTTGTCTCATGCCGAAATCCAATGGAATCGTAGTTCACCCGTCCGCGCTGCATTCCCGTGGAAGGGGCTGCTTGTCGGCAGACTGAATGGAGCGAATGGCAGGTCTTTAAAAAAAATCACCTAAATTCGACTTCCCTGCAGTACTGTACGTACAGTGTTTACGGCTGGGTCTCTGCTGTGGATCTGGCCGCTCGGAGCTCTCCCGACCATCGGGACTGCAGAACCTGAAATAAGAGCGTAGGTGGTCAAGTTCTTGTGTTTGGCCATACTTCACTCAGGTCAGTCCATGTCGGGATCCATAAAGCGCCCTCCAGAGGGCGCTTTATGGATCCCCCTATCCCAGGGGTCGGCAACCAAAATAACAAGCGACATTTTTATTCGATTTTGGTCTATGAATTAAAAAAATTCAATGCGTGTGAATACGGGGACGGTCCTTGATTAATAACATGATAAAGATATCGTTACGGAGCCGCACGCTGCCAACCCCCTGGCCTATCCATTATAACGCCTCGTGACGAAGCCTCCTGGCCACGTCCGAGGGGGCGGGGGACCCCTCTGTAAAAGCTGTTGCTACCTCTGCAGTCGTCATCACAACACGGTGGCGCAAATCGGGTTTCGGATCTTTACGAGAGCAACAGGAAAAAAAAGTGGAACAAACAGAAAAAACAAACGAATGTGGGAAGCCGGCCACGTTCAAGAGCCGTGGCTGGGTGGCATGGATTTTTTTTGTTCTCTGACCGCCAAGTTTAAACGGCTCCATTGACCGCAGGCCTGTGGCTGAGATCCGATCGCCCAGCAGCACTGCCCGACGGAGAACATGTGCTATCACGGCGGTAGCAGCAGCAGTCACAGCAGCGATAGTCCGAGGTTATTGGTGGAGTTGTGGGGGTTGTGTGGGAGGTAGGGGGAGGGCGGCATGGGGTTGAGGGACCACAGTGCTGTGGGGGGGGTGGGAGAGGTCGGGGGTGTAGTGGAGGGAGGTGGGGTGGTGGGAGTTGGTGTGGGGGGGGGTGGTCGGCGTTTGTGTAACTGCCCGCACGTGTTCGAAATTGGTGCGTTGATTTTCCACGTGATTACGTCTTGTGGCACATGCTCTCGAGTTGGCCTTTGAGACAGTTATGTGATGATTCCACCCTCCACGGTTGTTTGGGTGCCACGGTGGCGAGATGTTATCCTGCTCGACTGGTATACAGAATGTCGTGGGTTAAATCTCGACTTAGAGGCCTGTATATTTGGAGTTTGCGTGTGTCTCTCCACGTGGTCGCGTGGATTTTTCTCCGGGTCTTCCGCTTTTTTCCCCTCCATTTAAAATCAACATCACGCGTTTAGAGTATTTGGCTGCTGTAAATATCCACTTGATAAGCCGCTTCGTTGAGCAATCATTTGTGGCCAGGTCGCTTCTGAAAAAGAGTTGTAAAGCTCGGTGTGAACCTTACCATGGTAAAATCAAAATAAGTTTAGTTTTATGTAAACTGGCACTCGCCACTGTCGACACGGCCACTGTCACCGCCAGTAACAACCACTTTAACCTTCCTCATCACCACCACCTTTATGGTCAGTCATTACACCATAATTGCCACAACAATAACGTTCCATCACCACGACAAAACGCGGTATCACGAATTGATCGCGACTCTTGAGGATCGTCATTGTTTATCGCCACCAACGCTGCCCCTTTCGCTGCCGTGACAGTTGCCGCCACGGTCACCGGCACCGCCGCCACGGTCACTCCACTCGGCACCACCCCATCGCCAAGCGGTGCCACGTTCGCCGCTTTTTGTCGCAGAGCTTCACGGTTCGATCCAAGCGGCCGCCCTGATTCAATACCGCGGGCCATGAGCATTCGCGCCGTCTCCTCCACGGTGCGTGAAGCGTGCCCGTGGCATCACAGTACTTTAAGTATGCCTTGTGGCGTCATTCGCGAAAGAGGGATGCCGTTGTGTGGCTGCGTCATTGTCCACATTTGAAAGATGAAAAACCGGATAATTATTAGATTGGAATCTACTTGGAAAACCGATGTCCTTCCCCCGCACCTCCGATTAGCTACGTACGGTGTGAAAGAAGTTCAACGTACATTGCCGCTGCCCCCCCTCCCCCCCCCCCTTTACTGCGAAATATTGATAGGACCCTCCTGAAAAGGAGTCCTGAGGCTGCTGCTGTGTAACCGAGCGTGATACTAAATACACCAACCATCACGGCCACTCCGACCACGATGGGCACCACCCACACAGTCTTTCGGACCATAATCTGGACACCAGAAACTACCGCCACCACCCAACCACCAAAGACAACGATCCCCGTGTAGCCTTAACAGACTGTTGGGACAAGTGCTGTCAGCGAGTGACACCTATGAAGGCCGAAACGGCACACGAGGGGGTGGGTGGCAAGCACCGCTCCCGACCGCCTTTGTCTCCCTAAGTGACGATGTTTACACATCTCACCAGGTTCCTGTTTTAGTCCGAGTCTACCTAGGGGAAGATGTCCAGCACCGGTTCAGACAGTCGTCATCACAGACACCACCTCAATGACGAAGCATCACGGTCTGCCACCACCACCAACCTCGGCACCCTCCCATGGACCCGTCCCCGAGAGGCCTCCGCTCACGTAGGATGTTTGTTACATAAAAAATCGAGGGCACGTGCATCCTGGAAACAACATTTCCGCGAATTGTGGCGCACGCACGCACACGCGCGCCCGCGCCACGCACGACACGTGCACGCGCGCGCACGAGGCTCGCTCTCAGTCGAAGGTGGAGTCCTCGTTCAGATGAAGGCCAACCCCCACCCCCCAACTCGTACGCTCCCCCCACTCATCCCCCCAACACCCCCGCCAACCACCTCGCTTCCACCTCCCAGCATCGGATACGCCGTCCTCACGGTCATCATTCGTGTCATCTTCATCACTATCATCATGGTTCGTGTTACCATTGCCCGGCGTCATCTGTCCCATCATCATAATCAACGTCATTACTGTCCTAATGTGCCATTATCATCAGTGGCAATGTGTCGTGGTTAACACCAGCTTCCGTGCCATCGCCATCCGTTTAAAAATAATCAGCAGCATCATGATATCATCGTTATCATCACTTGTCATTGCCTTAATATGAATGATCCATTAACACGTCAGCACCATAATTACCATCACGTGTCATTCATATCACCTTCATCCTCCGACTCCACCGTAATTCGAACGGATGAGTGAAACCCATCACACCCCCCCCCCCCTTCACCATAATCATCAACCACGATCAATCCACTGCTGGATGAAGGCCTGCGATGGCAGCAGTCCACCCCACGAGCTGATCTTTTCGCTCCGTCTCCACACTGGGTGTCTCGACCACTGGCTACCATCCCTTCTCACAGACACACGCCTTCGTTGTGACAGGTCCAACGCAGAAGATCCCTGGGGTTTGATCTCCCACGAAGCTGCTCACGGTCCACCCTAAATCGCATCCTCTGCACAAACCACGGCGGCAATGGATGCGGATACCTGATAATGCCACAAATAGCAAATTAAAAACTCTCCGAGTGGTGAAGTGGTGCGACTGTGGTCATCCAGCACAGAGATCGTACAACGACGCAATGCCCCGATCCACAAATACGAAGGAGACATCGCAGCGATGATGATACACTACTACCACTCCACTGCTCCTGACGCGGTGATATCTGTGCTTGACCAACTGAATGTGAAATTGTAGTTGTTCATGTGCATCGACATCAGCATCAGGCGTGCGATAGAAGAAGAAGATCCCTTCTAGCGACGTGTCTTGCCCAAGTGCAACTTCCCTAACAGTCTAGAACGATGCCATTGACCTGAAACATCTCAAACACACGTGTTCATTTTTAACATGTAGGCTTTCGCGACCAATATTATCCATAATATATAATAGAGTTTTTTTTGGGTTATATTGGTAGCGAAAGCATACGTGTTAAATTATCCATAATACATGTGGTTTTTTTTGGGGTGGGGAGGGGGGAGGGGTTAGATCGCGTTAATATAAATGTGTCGTTATATCCGGCGTGCTGCACTAGTAAGGAACTTGCATGAATTGTCTACGGGTGGTGGCGGGTTTAACGACACATTAAAAAAAACCTCTTCTGGACACGTGTGCCGGTTGTGACCCCAGGCATCGTGCAGTCGTCTCGTCTCCCGCTTGGCGCGCCTCTCATCTGTTGCGTTAATTAATGAGCGTGCCTCTGAGCCATCTGCCGCGGCAGCCAGCGTCGTACCACCGAAGGCGGAAATTTTTTTTGCTGCGCGTTACTTTTCACCATCGATTTCAGATTTCCAAAAGCACTCGAAACCCCGCTGTCATCGGCTTCGTTATATCGTCGTTTTACATTCCCGTCAGCTTTTCAACAGCTGTCCTCCTACAGGTACAAATAGCTGATACAGCAACAACAACACATTCGTCAATAGCACTGCCTCTACGTGCAGCGAAGAAAGACCATTGCCCGAAACGTCGCCTATAAAATTCGTTTTCCTTTTCGAGGGGCCACGGTGTTATTGACGAATATGTTGAAATTTCTGTTATTTGTGCACTCAGGCAACGTGGTATCACCCAAATAAATTTGTTCTCGGTGCAAAGACAGAACCCCCTCCGTATAGGCTTAACAGAGTGCTGTTAGCGAGTAGCACCTATGAAGGCCGGAACGACACACGAGGGGGTGGGAGGCCTGCACTCCGCCCGGCCTCCTTTGTCTCCCCAGTGGCGATGTTTACACACCGCACCAGGTACTCATTTGAGGCTGAGTCGACCTAGGGGAGGCCCAGGACCGGTTCAGGTCATCGTCACTGGCGTTGGCCGTGAGCGGGAATCGGAACCCGGGTTGGCCGGGTTCGAAGCGCAGCGCGCTAACCGCTACACCACCGCTCCCCACACACACGGATACACGGACTCACGTGCACATTCTGCTGAACCGTATTTCGCGAAACGAAACTCACGCGGAGCTCACTGCCGCCAAGTGGGCCGAGGTGGTCGCGCCACGGTGATTCACAGAGTCGGCCAGACCCGTGCGTCTGGTTTCACAATGTTGCGCACGTCTCGTTATTTATTTTAATTTTTGTTATTGCTGCTGCCTTGACGTTGCTATCACTGTGGAATGACGGTCGCCTTAATCATCGCTTGTTGTTGGCGTGTGCCCCGCTATCTCGCCGTGACGTGGGTGAGTGATTAACAGCTCGGGGAGTCTTAGCAGCAGCAGCAGGGAACACGTACAGCAGTGCTCTGTTTGAGCCCCCCCCCCCCCCCAGCTCCTGCAGGAACACACGACTCATTCACTCGCGACTGTCACTCGTGAGATCTATGATGAGCCTCTCGCCACGCGGGCTCATGTCAACACGTTCCACCCCTCACCCCCAGCCACCTTTCTACTCACAAGGAGGAGACGGTCTCTAAGGGTCCGTTTGTCAATCCATTGCTGGATGAAGAATCCCTCCCCCCCCCCCCGCAAACTCCGTGTAGGTCATAGGGGGGGCATAATTAGACTATGTCGCTGCTCTAAATGTCCACGTGATTCTAAGCCACTTCATTGGGGCTATCACTTGTGGCCAGGTCGCTTCTGAAATGGAGCTACATAGCTCAGGGGGCCTTACCTTGAAAGAATTAAAAAAACTTTATTTAAAAAATAATGAATTACTCTGGTCATCTTTATTAGTTTATGATGAGGACGACGACGATGAGCTGAATCGACCGCAGGCCGATATCGAACTCGTGGTGATTGGCAGCCGAGTGGCTCGGAGCTTCGCGTCGCACATGGTCACGTGGTGCGGCGAGGCGAATTACTCGGTCCACTCGTCATGGCTGCCCTGTATTTGCACCACGTGGTACGGCCCAATCAACAACAACAACAAAAACCCCACGCCGTCAAAGTTGTTGATCAGACTAAATTTGTTATTTTTGTTTTACCTTCAGGGTATTTCTCGGCATGAGCACGGAGTTCACAACATTGTGTCCCGGTGTTCAGGTCTCGCTCACCTTCCAGCAGCGTCACTGGGATTTTACACCGGCGACTCACTCATTCACCCCCTACGTGTGCCGTGCAGGACTTCACAGGTGTTCGCTAACAACACTTGCACCAAACGCTATGCTGAAGGCTGTACGGGGAATCGGTTTGTGAGTGGTATGTACGTGTGTTTTGATTTATGAGTTAGAATTCTATTGAAACTAAACTATTTTGTATTTATTTTACCAGCTAAGACCCACTGAGCTATACATCTCTCTCTTTTT